ATTTTGCAACGCGGAATTATAAATTTCGATTCGATTTTTATTCCAACGATATCTCGGCGGAAGATGTATGTAACGCCTATAAATCTGGAAACAACGTGCAAACAATGGAAAAGTGCACGCGTGCGAAAGCGAAATCTAAATACATCGATCGAAATTAAAACGGCGAGGTGAATAAGCCGAAACGATTATTACGCGTCGGATGAACGCAACTTGCCGACCTTTCCCTGATCCACTCGCCCTGAATCTGTTCCAAATTCGAGTCATTTTGGCATTCGCACCAAATAACGCTCGCATCTCGCGCTCGTCGAACCGATTGATAAAATTATTATAAATTATAAATATATGTAAATTATTGGCGGGTGTTTAATTGCGATCTCCGCGAATAATGTGACATTTTTCAGGGTTAAAATATCGATACAAGACGCGAAATAAGACGCACGATAGCTCGAAAGAATTAAATTAAAACTTTTGGAAATTATGCTTAATATAAAATAAAAATAAAAATAAAATAAAAATAAATAAAAATATGCAGTTAATTATGGTTTTATTTAAAAAAATCTAAATTTCATTTTTTTGTATTTGCATTCGTTTAAGAATAAGAAAATACTGAAAAAAAAAATGTATATACATTTTCATTAAATTGATATTTTTATCAAATATTGAGGATATTAAGGATTTTATCGTTAATTTTAGCAAAAATTTACTAAAAATTGGGAATTGCGCTTCGATTCGATTTTCTGAAGGGCGAACGAAAAAGCTTTCAAAGAACAATTTTGCCCGTTCGATCAATTCTAAAATTCGTTTCAGTCTTCTGAACGAAAAGAAAGAAAGGACTAGAAAAGGGGGACTTCTTTACGACGTTTCAATCTTTGTTCCACTTCCTTCCGAAATCGAATCTTTGGAAAAGCGCAGGCACAGGCAAAGAAAACCACAAGGGGATCCCTCTATGAAGAATTAGAGAAATTTCCCTGGGCGAGAGAAATGGCCGATTTGCAACAATTCCACTTGCAAATTGGCCGAATTAGCATTGTAAAGCAACAAACGAGGCTTAAAGTTAGGCCTTCCAGTTCCCTCGACCGGAAAAGTTACCAGCACATACTTTAACAAACTCTCTCTCTCTCTTTATATATATATATAGTAGTGCGAAATTTTCTCTCCGTTTTCCAACTAAATCGCCTACTTTGAGGCGATGCTTGACGAACTTAATAAAGCATGAAATTTGTCGACTTGAAATTGCAAACATTGAGCCATGCCTTTGCTCTATAAACTTTTTTCAATCCCAAGTTATTACCATACGTGACTCTCTTTTCTTTTCTTCACTTTTTTTCGTGTCTCTCTTATTTCATGGACTGTTCCTTTGATCTACTAGCTTTTGCAGAATGTTTCACCGAGGCAGATACACTTTGATAAAATGTGTACTATATATATAGTAAGTGTTAGTAAAACTATATATATAGAGTAGTACATTTTCACTTTGTTTCTAATAAATTCTAGCAGCAATATATATATATATATATATATAACATTTTACATTTTCAATATACATGTGTTTTAACAATTAACTGTAATATTAATAGAATTCGTTGAATCTTTCAATTCTTTTTCTTATTAATTATCTAAAAAATTGGTATGAATGAGTTTGATGTAATTTTGAGATCACTCTCAAGGTATCGAATAGCTGAAGCTTTTCTTAGCCAACGATTATTTAGAAGAACCAACAGTCGGTGATTTCCTCGACAAGTTTTTGGCACCGGGTTCGACTTCGAATCAGAGATGGGATCAAGGGTGTATCACGAGCGCCATCGAAATTTTTAAAGGCAATAAATTTGTTCTCCTTCGAATTCTTTTTTTTTTTTTTTTTTAATTCTTTTAAAACAAACAATATATATTTTCACAGTTCTGCTCTACAAACGATCTACAATCGTAAATTCGCCAATCGATCTGCCTGTTTATCGATTTCGACGATCATTATTTATAATAGTTTCGCACCCTCTTTATGCGACGATACATATCTCTTGGAGAAGCGTAAAAATAGCAAAAAAAAAAAAAAAAAAAAAAAAAAGAAAATAATACTCCTTCAGAGAGAAAAGAATTATATTCGCATGTTTCTCTGTCTTTTCGGTTTATATCTTCGAAACGGAATTGTCACTGTTCCGTGTCTATTTGATCGATCGATTAAATTTTCCACTCCCTTTGGCCCGACGTTATACAAACTATGAAACTTTGACGTGATCATTTATTGACCGATGAACCTTTTGCTATATCTTTTGCTGTGTTTTTTCTTTATAGAGATTTCAATGATAATTTATTGGAAATTAATAATTCAACTGCTCTTATAACGCTCGATCCATAAATTCTATTTCATATACATTTAAGTGTTATAAGTTTCAGGCCATAAAAAAATAAAAATATTATAACTTTAATATCGTATATTTAAATAAAATTCTTGTTTTTGTTCGTAGTTTTGTTTCAACGGCGCTGAAGTTTTTTGAATATTTTATTCGAAGGTTTTTAAAAATCTTTATTTTTGTATTAAAATAAAAATATTGACAAATATTATATATTACATTTTTTCGATTCTTTTTCAATTCTTTCAAAATTAAAATTTTATTTCACTTTGATTTATCAAGATTTTAAATAAGAATATTCGTAAAATTAGAAATATTTTATTGATTATTTTTCTTTTTATTTTTTTAATTTCAAAAAAATAAAATTTCTTTTTTCATAATGTAAGATGGTAAAAAATAAACTTGAATTATTGCCAACATAAAAATTTGAGGCATCAAAATGTTTCTGTGTAATCATAAAACTATTCGATAGGATATAATTTAAAAAGAACAGTTTTTTTATGGAGCAAACGTAAGATCTTAAACAATGAGTATGCATGGCCTATGAAGATGAAGGAATCTCATCCTTCGTGTCGCTTTTGGCACAGAAAGGTTGGCATTACACGCAGCAACGGCGCGACGAAGGTCGCCATTACAGGGCCGACTGCACGTGTAAAATTAACTTTGATCCCCACTAACCTCGGTTTACCCTTCTGTCTACTTCCATCTTATTTCTGTCTTAAACATTTCAGTTATTCTTTTATTTAATAAATATCACTTTCTTATTTTCAATTTCTTTTATTAAGATTTTTATTAAAATTTATTAAAATTTTTTATATCTTTTATATATTACAATTTAATAATGATATATGTTAATTGAATATTTAAAATAAGAATATTGATTCCAATTTGAAACTTCATTTTAACAAATAAGAATTTTATATATATATAATAATAATTTTATCGTATTGTCATATGAGCAGAAATATTTTAATTTACAATATTATAGAATTAATTATTATAGAATTCTATTATTGAATTAAATACAATTCTCTAAGTTTCTCTAAGTTTTTTTTTTATTTTCATTTATTTCATATATATTAATTATCTATATAAATTATATCGATAACTGTATGAGAAAATTAATATTTCAAATTCTGAATTGATCTAGGTTGCCTATATTTTACTTCATTATGTTCTTATCATTCATTTTATCTAAAAATTCTTATGGCTGCAAGAAACTATGGAAAATTTATTAATCACATTCCTTCCATTAATCAGGTGGTTACAAAACAGATCATTAGTCAAATTTTAATTAATTGTTATTGATTAAATTTCAATGATTAATTTCTATAATGTAAATAGTCACTGATGCATATCAAATTCCATTTAGCATGTTCTATTAATCTATTCTGATCAAAATATTCTAATGATATTCTGTTAATCAAATTATACTTGTACATTTCTACTTGTCAGTTTCCGTTGGAATTTGGAAACCTAATTTCAATCATGTTTTATAATTTTAATTTTACTTCAATTATAACAGAATTACATATTGCAAATCAGTTTTACATAATTATATCTTATTCGATAATTATACCTTGTCAATCATATTTATTTGTTCTATTATTAATTCATCTCTTCCTTTATGCAATAATATTTCAAAATTACTCTTCATACTTCCCTACATTTATTTATTCATGTACTCATTAATTTTTCTTATTGTGCATCATTTGTTCTATTGTCATCTTAATTCATCTTTTTCTTTATGAAATAATATTTTATTACTATTCTATCATATTTATTTCTATTCATTTATTCATTAATTTTTCTTATTCTACATTGTAAAATTCTTTATCATATTAAAATATATATTATCATATTATATTATTAAAATAATTGAATATTTTATATTTAATACATCAAGTTTTGAATTGTCACAAAAAATCAAAGAAAATTATTGAGGTTATATTTGTCATATTATTTCACTAACATTTCATCACTCATATAAAAAGAAAAAAATAATTAACGTTAACAATTAACATCCCAAAAGAATTCATATTTTAATTATGAAAGATTTTAGTCTCCACAGAAAAAATGTAGAAAATTTATATACATAAAATAACATGCTCGTGTCAAATGCATACATTGTTATATTATCAAAGAAAATATGAAAATAAACTTACCACATTTTCAATTGAATTCTCCGCTGAAAACTATAAAAATCACTGTAGAAATATCTTTACACAATGAACAGGAAAATTCAAATAATTACAAATCTTTTCGTTTTAAAATATCGATCTAGAACAAATTACGATAAACGGATCAATGCGTCAGTTTTTTTCGCGGTATATTCTTCTTCTTGTCTTGTGAAAGAAACAAAGAATAAATAGTTTTGGCAGATAATTTAATTATTTAAATAAAGTTTAAAGCATTACACGTATCATCTCAAATCACATTTGTATCGATTCTTTAATGGCATACTTTCGTAATTCAAAATATAATTTTATTCATATTAACATAGATATAACATAGATGTACATACTTAATCAACAAAAAGTTTTTATTGAAATAAAAAATTTTATTATTATATTGAAATTTTTAATACGAATTGAATATGAATATATTATAAAACATAAAGCATTGTATTACAAAAACAATTAATAATTAAATTAGATTAAGTTTAAATAAAAAATCAAACAATGACTAGATATTAAAAAAAAAAATAATAATTAAAATGATGCTATATTTAAATCCATTCTATTTCACAGAGAAACCAACGAAAAATCAAATTTTTCTCCGCGAATATAATTTGTAATGCAATCCTACTATATAACTCGTGTAATAAAAGTTTCATCGATATTTACTGTCTTCGGTAACCATTACTGGTTTTTAATGCAGATTATACATGTTATCGATAATTGAAATCAAAATTATTAGGTACCATATTGTGATAAAAATTCTTTGTTTAAATCTTTCTGATAGGAAAAAAAATATAAATTTTATACATCTATTTTTTTCCTGTCAATTTTACAATAACAGTGTGACGATTTAATCAAGAATTGTTGATCGATCTTTTTTCTTTTTCGTTTCATTTGAATTAAACAGACAGAAACTTGTTTCGAAATTTAAAATGAATTTTTTAATTTGTGCAATTTGGTTCAAAGTTAAATTTTTAGTAAGTTCAATGAGTTATTTAGAATTTTATTATTTATTGTTCATGTGAAATCTTGTGGCATGTGGCATGTAATAAATAACGTTAGAAAGTTCTATATGTTTGTTCGAAAAATTTAATCAAAGTAAAAGTAGAGGTAAGTTTGAATATTCATCATGATGAATCGCGAGAAATTGACTATTCATTGTGCATTTATACATCATTCAAGTTTTCATGGTTAACATTTCTATTATTTCAACTGATAGTTACGTTGAGGTTATGTTTCTACAACATGATTATGATTTTGTGAGTAATTTATAGATTTTATAATCCAATATTTTGTATTGCATAATATCATAAAAAGATAAAAAGAAATGCAATTAATTTTTATTCAATTCGATTAACAAGTTTCAAATATTATTTTGTATTCCTGTTAATACTTTATTACAAATTACCAATTTTTTTTACCAATAAAATTCGAAACTTTTATAAACAGTAAAGAAAAATTCGATTATCTATCTATCTATATTCAATTATAGAATTTTTGAAATTTTAAAAATATATTATAATTTACTATGTGTAATTTAAAACGTAGAAAATATATTAGAAATTTCTTTATTTAATATTGAACTTTTCTGCTTATTTTGATGCATTTCTAAACTTTTGATGAGAATATATTTTAAATTATTTATAGTCGAGATATTGCTATCAAAAGAAAACAATCGAGAATTTCTCGATGCCAAGGTTCTTCAACGAAGAGGAAAAAAGCACGAAATAATTGAAAGAGTACTCCAATTATTTGGTTCCTGAATGGACGGCGACTGGAAGCTTTTTAATTCGATATTGTAACTTGATTTTCCAACATTTTGGACTATATCGACTGCATTCAGTACAGCTTTTTGGCCGCGTATTACATTATTTAGTTAATAAATTGCATTCAATCGTTCAAGTGATCTTTGAAATAAGGCCAAATATTAATAAAAAACCGGATAGATCCAATAAAAATGGTTATTATTATTTTACAAATTTTCTTCTCATTGCTTGAATAATATCTAATGAAAAAAATATGTTATATCGTTAAAAAGAAATTTTTTTATATCATAAAAGAAAAGAATCTCTTCAAAAATATGTAAAAAAATCCAAATATTAAGAGTGGAATTTAAATAAATCTTGTTAAATTCTAGGAAATAGAGGGAAATTGTGAAGGAAGCAATTCTGAAATGATAGAAGCAGTAATTAAGAGGAAACAAGATGAATTCTTGGGAAGGAGAGTCTTTATCATAGTAGGAGGAAAGATTGGTCGTGGGAAGAACGACGACAAAAGAAGGCAAACTCAAGGTATCGCTAGTTTATCGAGTCTGAGAGCATTTCTTTGTACAGACTAGGTGGAAAAATCGCGAAACTCTCGATAGCTGACCTGGTTACGTCTATTCGTATCAAAGCAGAAGCAAAATCGTGATGCTCTTCACTAAAGAATTTATTATCCTCGAAGAGGGAGACGTCTAAGATGGATTTAAAAGAGATCAGAGGTTAATAACCTTGACTGGGATTAGATAAGTAAATTCAACAAAAATGAACGTTTAAAATATTAAAAAAATATTCTCAGGAATACTCCTTTTTATTTATATTTAAAATTTATTTGTCAAATGCTCAATACTGTCAAAATATTTTAATCTTGAGATCTTTTGCTTCAAATTAAAAAATTTTATTTATAAAAAATATTATGTTGCGATAATGACATATTTCTAGAAAAAATCTAACATTGTCAATACTTTCATAATCTTTATATTTGATTTATTTATATTTTTCAAAATTACTTTATGATAATTTTTGAATCATTTTCGCAGTAGAAAGTTTGAAAGTTCGAAAAGCTGATCAATTCTAACGAATCGAACAAGTCTAATCTATGAGTGAGAAGCTTTTACAAGTTTCATCATCTGAAAACTATAATTTATTTCGAGAAAAAGAAATGTGTTGGCGATGGTATGTGTTAATTACGTGAAGTAGCATATCGCAATTTGCATAATTCTTGGCCGAGAACGTCTTATAAAAAAAAAGGTATAATCAACGCTTTCACGCTTGCTCTAGGATTGGTTCAATTACTTAATTCTCCGTCGGGGAAATCCACTGCAATTTAATACGTTCAACTTTTTCACCACCGCGCAAGATAAGCTTTTTATTTCTGGTTTAAGGAATTTCCTTAATCCAAATGAATGTTATTAATCTTTTGAAATTGAAGAACTACTGGTAAAACAAGTAATGAGCATTTTTCATTAGAAATGAAGTAGAGAATTCTCTGTGTTTGTTATATTATAGATCAGACTACAATAATATATATCTTAATATATAATAGAAAAATAAATTTACAACCTTTTATGTAATTTAGGTAATTTTTAACAATCTCTAATCTTAAAAAATTTTAAGTTGAAAAGTCAAATGAATGGAGTTCTGAGAAAAATTAAAGATATATTTATTGCAGAGAGAAAATAAAAATATAAATTTATATTGGAGTAGAACAAATGATTAAATGAAATTCAAATGTATTCAACTTCTCTCTCTTTCTCTCTCTTTTTTTTTGTTGAAATTAGATTTAAATCTAGCTAGAGACAATTTACATGACGACACCTCCCTCGAATCATAGAAATAAGAAGACAAATAAGAAGAAGACATTTCTGCTTTTATTCAGACACATTGAATAAGTCGTTTACATTGTAAACAGAATGCCTCCTCGTTTCACTGAACAAACAGTGAGCCTTAACCAAGTTAAAACAAATCTCGTTAATAATTCATGAACCATAGCACGACGATTATTTAAATAAATACGGAATTGGATTCCAGGCTGAAAATCGTCAACGAAAATATCCATTTATTCTTGAAGGGATCTATCTTACAATTGAAAATATAATCGTATAAAGGCCGGAAATGTGTTGTTAGAATGGCACAGATAATATCAAATGTTAATTTCTTCTAAGCTTTGTATTATTTTCTCTCTAAATACCGAAAATCTCTAGATAGAATGCTGCGATGAATAACACTGGAGCAAGTATAGTACCAATGTTGGACCTTGCGATTAGCTGTGTATCAGGATTTAGAATGTTATATAGGGACATGGTATGACTAAGAAGTGAGGTAGTCAAGCCAGTAATAGCCTACTCTAAATAGTTGACATTGTTCATTGGTAAGAGGAAAATATAGTATCTAATAATCAAACCTTTATATATTACCAACCATATTACATTATTGTCATTCACATGCGACATCCTTAATCCTCTATTATTCTAATTTTCATTTTCACCCCTTCACATTACAATAATATTTCAATAATATCAATACTCAACAACATCATCCACAATTCCAAAAGATTATATTATCCTCAATGCATTATGTTATTCATAACCATACCAAGAGTCATAAATCATCGGCGAAAAACCCTATACATAACGCTCACTCGATCCTTCATATATCCCCCTAACTTATATCAACCAACTAGCCAAGAGTTTCACTGCTCAAAAAAAATTTTCAGAAAAAATTCCATTTATTGCACAAAATTCACCAACCAAGCTTTAACAAAAACACCTTCAGAAACAACAACTTGACAAAACTATCAAAACTTTCCCAAAATTCCCAAAATTTTTTCCAAAACTTCAACCATCCAAGACCAAGCATCTTCCATCCAACTCCTCACACCTGGCTCACTACAATTCTCCAACGACTCAAACTAACCAAAAAAAACTCTCTGTTGCAGGCCAAGAATCCCAAGCCGTTCCATGAGAGTGTGTCGACCTTCCCTGGTGCGACACCACCCCTCCCCATAATCCCTCCATCCACCCACATTGTGGAGAAGGAAGGAAGGAAGAAAGGAAGTCCTCCACCCGAGAATCGCCACGGAGGATAGAAGGAAGAAGGCGTACGTGGCGGAGACGTGGAGGGTGGCTCGCGTGCCAAGAAGATGCGACTGTTCGCGTGGCCTGGCAGCGTGACTCGCGGTGGACTCATAAACGATGAATTGGCGGGCAGCGATGTTGGCTC